GGCATCCCAGGGGTGCGAGGATTAACGGGCAGCCCTGGGCCGAAAGGGGACGGTGGGATCCCAGGGCAGCCTGGGCTGAGGGGCCCCTCTGGCATCCCTGGCTTACAAGGACCTGCAGGTCCCATGGGGCCTCAGGGGTTACCGGGACTGAAAGGGGAGCCCGGGCTTCCTGGGGTTCCCGGTGAGGGGAAAACCGGTGAGCCCGGCATGGCCGGACCCATCGGTCCCCCGGGAATGCCAGGAACACCAGGGCTGAATGGGCCACCGGGCCCACCGGGGCCGCCTGGGCCTCCGGGAGCACCGGGGGTGTTCGACGAGACGGGCATTGCGGGGCTGCACCTGCCGGACGGCGGCGTGGAGGGAGCTGTGCTGGGGAACGGCAAACCGGGGAAGCCACAGTACGGCCGGGGAGAGATCTCCGCCCGGATCGCACCTGCCTTCACCGCCATCCTCACCTCCCCCTTCCCGGCCTCAGGCATGCCGGTCAAGTTTGACCGGACTTTGTATAATGGGCACAACGCCTACAACCCGGTCACCGGGATATTCACCTGCCCTGTATCCGGCATCTACTATTTTGCCTACCACGTGCACGTCAAAGGGACTAACGTTTGGGTGGCCCTTTACAAGAACAACGTGCCTGCCACCTACACCTACGACGAGTACAAAAAGGGCTACCTGGACCAGGCCTCGGGCAGCGCCGTGCTTGAACTCAAGGAGAACGACCAAGTCTGGGTACAAATGCCCTCGGACCAGGCCAACGGACTGTACTCCACGGAATACATCCACTCCTCCTTCTCCGGGTTCCTGCTCTGCCCCACATAACGGCTATTGGGCAGATTTCCTTTTCACCCACTTTAGCCATAAACTGTCTTTTGGTTTTTTTGATAACAAAGTTTTTTAAAAAATTAATACAAAAAAGAAAAATCACTGGGAAGAACGCTCAAGCCGTCGTCGTGGGACGTTGCTTCACGCTGTTTGATCCATGAGTCAAGAGGGTAACTGGAAAGGAGACATCTTTCTGTCTTTTTTTGGGAAGGGAGAGGAGTCACTTCCTCAGCAAAACGTATTTGGAATAAATTTTACCCTAGTGACTGTACATCAAACACAGGAGTGTGCTTGGGATGGCAAGGATCTGGCTCTACAGTCAACTGCTCCGTGATCCAGAGGGGGTCAACCATCTGGAAGGCCAGACCCTTCTGGTCTATAATCAAGTGCCCTTGTTTCCCATTTTGAGTACTAGTTAAGTAAACCCAGCTGTTGTAATGGATGGTGTATTTGCTACCCAGCACAGGGGTCCCAGGCACTTAACCCAAACCTGTACAGCAGCGGAGATCCGTGATGGATTGAGAAATTTCCTTCCCAAACCATCTGATGCCCAAGTTCCAGTCTCGCTGATGCTATTTTTTCAGACTGTGCTTTGAGGCAGTCACCCCAATTCACTCTGGATTCCATGTGGTTGGATTTATAATCATAACAAGTGGAACACTTTGCATAAGCACCTTCTTTTAAGAAGTAAATATTATTTCTAACCCTTCCCCCCAGCACCTTTAGGAATAAAAACATCCAGGCACTGGTATCTGGGAGGAGGACAGACAACCAAAGCCTCTGAGGGAAGCTGGGACCCCTGTGATGAACAAGGATCCTCTCTCGGGCTAATTAATCTCCTGGCAAGTCCCAGGGCTGGTTCTGTCCCGTCTGCTCCCTTGCAGCCCAGAGACCTGCTTGGCCTCCTGAGCATCTTGATCTTTGACAACACAGGCTGGCTCTGCAAGCCCGGCCTACGGCGCTTCCAGCCTGGCTTGACAGAAGGTTTAGTTGTGCTTCCTTGAAAGTGCCACTTATGGACAATTTGCTTTTACTGTCTCACTATTTTGGGATGTGTAAACTTCTGCATTGGTCTCCCTCCTTTCTCTGGGGACCTTTTTCATTAAGAAAAAAATCATGTTCGTTCTAACTTTCCATTCAGTCATTTTACAACGGTGCTATTACCTACTTAACAATGTTCTTTACAAGTCTAGTGCAATACGTACCTGTAACAGCCCCTGCAGGTGCCAGGCTGTGACCTAGGTTTAAAAAAAAAGAAAAAAAGAAAAAAATCACATTTGTCTGTTGTTACCACTTTGTGTCACTAATGCTTGAAATGTTACTGACCTGAATATGAGCTACAAGGTTCTGGGAAAGCTGTGCACGGACACTGACCACTTGGCTGCTCTGTCCTTTGCTCAAGGGAGCAACTGAACCCTGTTGCTTTGCAAATTTTCTCAACGTAGAAAAGTCATCACCACTTGCACTTACAGTTCAGTGATTCCTCTCATCCCAGGCAAGTAGCACGCTGCTGAGGTCAATCCCCACTGCATGTCCCTTTGCAAAGGCACAACCCTGAGAAAAAAGAACAATTTGGTCACCAGCTGAGCAACTCTTTACCTTAAATTTTCCTAAAGCTTGTTCTATGGCCAAAGAAACATAGTAAGAATGGGACTTGGGATTGCTCTCCAGATGGACTGTACAAGATATTTAAACACCTTTTCTTCTTCTGTTTCTGTTTTGTTTGTTTGTTTTTCTCCTTAAGCCTGTCCTGTGTTTCTGCCTCTTGCCATCCAGGGCTTCCCTTTAAAAACACACCTATCCCTGAAATGAAGGAATGTCCACTTGGACAGCCAGTGCTTCAGCTACTGCCCGGCTGGGGTTGGGCTGGCCTGTCCCCTCCCAGGGATTTTCTCCACATAAAGCCGCAAGTGTCGTATAAAGACAAAACCTGCTTGAGCTGAAAGGCTGTCCCAGTGTCTGATCCCACCAGGTGTTTTTAACTCCTGAAGGTCAGAGGGCGTCAGGGCCATTCAGGCTTTGATTGTTAACAGGTGGTTTCCCAGCAGGAACAGGAGCCTTAGAGTCCCTAAAATTCAGTGGAAGCTCAGGTGGGTTCTTCAAGCCCAGGCTTGGGAGGAGGGTGCTGGGATGGGGTCTGGGTCTCTTTTATTGAAATGTCTTTCCTGTGGAGAACAGCAGTGGCCTCGAGCTGGTGCCAGCAGTGAGGTCCAGTTCCCATGGTGGCACAGCTGGTGGCACAGCTGGTGAGGTGTCCACACCACCTGCAGCAGGGCCAGGAGCTCCTCGCGTCCCGGTGACGCGCCAGGGCAGAAACTTCCTCCCGTTACTCAGCAAAGCAACTTATTTATACTGTGTTCTAACCTACAGGCCACCTCTTTTTGTTCTGTTTTACTCAAAACTTCTTGTTCTAGCTGGCAAAACACAATGACAAAAATACTCACTATAACCACACTGAGACATTAACTCCTTCAGTGCTGTAGATATTGTTTTGCAATTTCACTTTCCCTTCACGTGCAAAGCATAAACCATAACCACCCTTTTGCAGCTTTATAACCTGTTACATTTACACAGCAATGGAAAGACAAAGGTATCACACACACACAGAGTTAGGCAAAGAGAAAACGATGCACAGGATGGGGGAGGCTGTTCACTAAACCCAACACTGTCAGGAAGAAGTTTTTTTTCTGGAGTACTGAGTACGTGGTATTTGCCAGCAGAAAGGATTTATCTTCTGTTGTGTGTGTGAGCGTGTGGGATTTTGGTTTCAACCACAATAATAAAAAGAGGTTGGGTTAGATGAAGTATGTCTATTTTTAATTATGGAAACTGCATTACAATGTGCATTTTTATATGCAAATTCTTACTATTTTTTTTAAATTTGCCTCTAGTATCTTCATTTCTAACCTAGTATATAGAGGTTTTTAGTTTTGTAAATACTTATTACATGCACTGTCATAGTAAAAGTTGGTTTAAAATGCACTCTTTTTGTGATCAGAAACTGGCCTTCTCTTCAGAACTAAAACTACAGTACTTGATTGTATTGACAAAACATCAATAAAACTTATTGTACAAAAAGTGGGCTCAGCTGTGCCTTTGTCCTGTCATCAACACCTTGCTCTGTCTGGCTGGTAACCACCTCCTCCTCAAACCCAGCTCACTTGTTCCCTGCAATCCAGCAGGTTTGCTTCCTATTTAATACTCCTGTGTAAGCAGGTCTTAAGTCAAAGTGCTGGGGATTCCCTTTCCCTTCTGTGCTTTTTTTTCATTAATTTACTTTTGCTACATGACACCACCTTGTCCACAGCCAACTCCACACCCTGAGCAGCAGCACCAGCGGGGTCCGCAGCACACAGAGGAAGGGGTCAACCCCCCATAACCAA